GGAAGTGTTGAAAGCCTTGCCTCGCACGCACAAAAGCCCTGACTGAGTTCTACTTTCAGCAATGCAAGAATAGTTTCATTGTTTTAAATATTTTATTTATATGTATGAATATTTTGCCTGCATCTATGTCTGTGCATGACACGTGTACCTGGAGGTCTGAGCAAAAAATAGTAGTTTTCAAAAGGCTTACATCCTATTCAAATTGATATATGGCCTTTTTGCTTGTTTTGTTGGTGTTTGTTTGTAACGACTTTTTGGAAATCTAATAGAATTGGCTGTTCCAGAGGGCTTTTGTTTTATTGCCTCATCAAAACACACGCAGTCACATTCCCATCTCGTTTGATATTGAGCAAATGAAGGCAGTTGGTTTTGACTCTAGTCTCCACTTCGCATTTGGCTAAAGCCCCTGGGGACAGGACCGGACCTGCTGCTGAGTGGCGGTGCCCTCCTCCCCACAGAGCCATATACACAATGTCAGTACACATGCCAGGGTTCTGTACCCAGTCAGGAGTCATATATCATGTCCTTACAAAACCTGGGCAAGTAAGAGAAGAAAGGACCACTGTTCACAGTCCCTGGGACTGTGCAGAAGGATCTGAGCTAGAGTCCTGGCGCCCTCGCGTGGCCACTCTTGTTGTTGCCCTTCTGGTCTCTTGAATACCTGCTGCTCGCCACACAAGGTCAACCTGCCGGGCCCAAGGAACAGCTAGCTCCTTGACTGCAGCAGCGCTTGGAGGAAGATGATGATGATGCCTGGCCAAGTGGCAGGAATGATGGTTCTGAAAGGAATAACTGAATGGCTTCTGCCTTTGTGCCTTATTTGTAAAAAATGGGATAGGTAAGCATTGCCTCTGTTGCCAGGCAGTGGTGACACATGCCTTTGATCCTAGTACTTGGGAGGCAGAGGCAGGCAGATCTTTGTGAGTTCAAGGCCAGCCTGGTCTATAGAGTGAGTTCCAGGACAGCCAGGGCTACCCAGAGAAACCCTGTCTCAACTCAGCAGGGACCTGTGTTTTCCATGCAAGCCTGGCAACCTGATTTCAATCCCCAGAACCCACATGTAGGTGGGAGAGAACCCAACTCCACAGAGCTGTCTTCTGAACTGCACACATACCTCCACACACACTACACACATAGTAAATACAATTTCACAAAATTTGGAGTCAGGTGTGGTGGCTTCTGCCTATCATACCAGCACTGGGAATGTGGGGACAGGAGGATTCTAGGGTTCACTGGCAGCCAGACTAGCCACGTCTGTAAGCTCCTAACTCAGTAAGAGACCCTGCAACACACAATAAGGTGGTGCGGAGGTTAAGAGCGCTGCTGCTCTTCCAGGCGACCCACAAGGAGATTAACATCTGCGATTCCAGTTCCAGGGGAATCTGCTGTCTTCTTCTGACCTCAGCAGGAACCAAACACAAATACAGTATGCGCTGCACAGATATGCTGCAAGCGAAACAACCATATACATAAATAAAATTTAAACATTAGATAAACTAAAATAAGGTGGAGAATGATTGAGGAAGACACCAGGCACTGACTTTTGGCTCCAAATGCATGTGCACATAGGTGTGTATGCACGCTCATATGCCTCCACACACACACACAAAGAGAGAGAGAGACAGAGATACACAGAGAAACAAAACAAAAGAAATAATCACCGTCCAGATGTCAAAGCACATTCATCTAATCCTAGAATTTGGGATGTTGAGACTGAAGAATTGCTGAATTCACAGCCACACTAAGTCCCAAAGCAAGATTCCGGCTAAAAAAAAATAAGTAACTGTGCTAGGGACATAGTTCAGTTGGTAGGGGGCTTGCCTAGAATGCACGAAGGCCTGGGTTCGAGCCTCAACATGGTATAAGTCAGATGTGGTAGATTATGTCTGTCATCAACACAGAAGGTGGAGAGTCAGAGCCAACCCTGACTACCTAGCAAGCTTGAGACCAGCCTGGGATACGTGAAACTAAATATATTTTGGGGGTGTGGGGTTCAATGCAGGGTTTCTCTGTGTAACCCTGGCTCTCCTGGAACTCACTCTGTAGACCAGGCTGGCCTCAAACTCAGAGATCTTCCCGCCTCTGCCTCCCGAGCACTGGGAATAAAAGTGAGCGCCACCACAACCCAAAACAATAATTTTAAAAAAGTAAATTAAAAGCTAGAAGGTGGTGGTGCATCATGCCTTTAATCCCAGTGTGAGTCAGAGACAGGCAGATCTGTGAGTTTGAGGCCATCTTGGTCTACAGAACAAGTTCCAGAACAGCCAGGATCACACAAAGAAACCCTTTCTCAAAAACAAACAAAAAGTACATTAAAAGGCAAAACAAAGGGCTGGAGAGATGGCTCAGAGGTTAAGAGCATTGACTGTTCTTCTAGAGGTCCTGAGTTCAATTCCCAGGAACCACATGGTGGCTCACAACCATCTGTAATGAGATCTGGCGCCCTGCAGGCATACATGCAGGCAGAATGTTGTATACATAATAAATAAATAAAATCTTTTTTTTTAAAAAGCAAACAATATGGCAAGAAGTGTTGTTCAGTGGTAGACTACTTGCCTAGCACACTCACGGTTCCCTCCCCTGCTAAATAAACCACAGCAGTAACAGCTCAGTGCCATCCAGGTGCCGGGCACTGGAGTTGTGTTGCTTGGTTCTGGTCCAACAGGCGCTCTACCACTACTCTTGCTAAGCAGAACGTGATTCTTTAATATTATTTTGTTTTTGTTTTTGTTTTTTTTTGAGACAGGGGTTCTCTGTGTAGCCCTAGATGTTTTCGAACTCACAGAGATCCGCCTGCCTCTGCCTCACGAATGCTGGGATTAAAGGCGTGCGCCACCGCTGCCCAGCTGACTCTTTAACATTTGAAAAATTATTACAGTTATATATTTTAAGGGTGTGAGGGCACATGTACCACAGAGCAGGGGGTCGGCGGCCTCCTTTCACCACATGGCCCGCCCCACGCAGGCCGGAAGTCAGATTGTGCGCAAGCTCCTTGACCCACCCAGTCGTCTCTCTGACCCCACAGCCTGAATCACTGTACTCTGTCCCTGCCTGGGTGAGCGGGCCTGGGTGACCACACCACGGTAGCCATGGGCGCATTCTGGAAAGTTCCATCCTCTCCCTCCGTGCAATGTGCATATCCAAGCACAAGGATGATGGGACAAACTTCCATATTCTCTTTTCTTAATTTATTTATCTTTATTTTATGTGCATTAGTGTTTTTCTTGCATATATGTCAGTGTGAGGGTGTTGGGTCCCCTGGAACTGGAGTTATAGGCAGTTGTGAGCTGCCATGTGGTTGGTGGGAATTGAACTCAGGAACTGTGGAAGAACAACCAGTGCTCTTAACCGCTGAGCCATCTTTCCAGCCCCCCAAACTCCCATATTCTCAAGCACAGCCCTGAGCAGTTCTTGCAGTCACAAAATGCTGAACCTGGACTTCCTAGTGCCCAGAAAAAAATGGTTCTATATGAGAAATTCTGGACTTTAAAAAGCTCAATGGCTCCCTCTTATTTTTTGATTCGGGGCTTCATAAAGCAAGGCTGGCTTTGAACTTAATGTAGTCAAGAGTAACCTTGAACTTTGGGTCCTCCTGCCTTTACCTCCCGAGTGATGGGATATGGTGTGTGCCACCATGCCTGGTTTGTGTATGCCAGACCCTCTAATAAGGGAGTCTCCAGCTCTCATTTATTTCTGACAGAAGCCTGCAGCAAAGTTACAGTGAACACAAACTCCCCGTTGAGAAAAACAATGAAGTCTTGAAAAAGTGAAGGAAATGCGCCAGATCATCCAGCAGAGTAGCAGAGCTGAGATTCATTCCAGGTTGACCTAGTCTTCCTTCCTGCCATAGTCCCCAAGGAAAAGGGGATCCCTACAGGAAGGCAGGCGGATCAGCAGGAACCAGCTATTGAACACACGTCTACAGACAGAATGCTGCCAGGTCCCACAAGCCTGTGCGGGGGACACGATGATGCGGCCCCAACCCATGGAGCTTCTATTTCAGTAGAATAAGATGAGCAAGTATCTATTTAGGTCTAGGAATGTAAGCATGAGGAAAAACTTGGGCAGGTAAAGGGGGTGTGAGCTGCCATGTGGGTGCTGGGAATTAAACCTGGATCCTCTGCACGAGCAGTGAACTACTGAGTCATCTCTCTAGGCCTGAGAGAGCTATTTCTCACAGATGTCTGAGGTGACCTGCCCACAAGCAGGGAGGAAAAAGGAATGGCATAAGTGTAGGACAGAGGCCCTGGGAAGGACATGCTGGGGACTTCTGGGTATACACGGTGAAGGAGCAGGCAAGGGCCACAGGTGAGGTGGTGGGACGGCAGGATGGAGAGGTGGTTGCGCTGTGGTAAGAAATTGTGGCTTTTACTCAATGAAACAGGAAATCACAGGAAGGTTTTGATCACAAAATAGATCCAATCTATAACCTGACTGATTTATGGGACAATGAGAGAACAGCAGAAGGGGGGTAGAGAGGGAAGGGACGAGACAGGTAAGGAGTCTTGCGGGGAGTGCAGGAAGCCTGAGCGTGTGGAGTTCTTGCGTTGTGTGTTGTTGGCATGAGCAGGCATGTCAAGGACCCCTAGCCTCAGACCCATGGGAAGAGTGCAACCCCACCCCACCCCCAGGGGAGACTGAAGAACGGCAAAGTCTTCCTCTGATCCACGTGCAGATGTTCACACATCTGCACAAAGTGTCCATCATCGCTTTCTCTCTGGGATACTACAGCCTCAAGACTGCTCCCTTATAGAGCCTGCTCCTACCGAGTACTTAAAGCTCCTTCTCGTGCAGTGGACACAGTAACTCTGCCTCATTCATTATCTGTGTGCACTAACCCATCTCCTCGTTCAGATGTGTGCACTAACTAACCCATCTCCTCGTCATCTGTGTGCACTAACCCAGTTCTCTGTCCAACCCTATATAATAGACATGCTGGGCTCACAGGGTGCTGCAGCTTCTCCACCAGAGCTCAGTGGTGGAGAACCTAAGCTTTTTTCCCTTCCTCATCCTATCTCTGGGGCACAAGAAGAAGGGGGACCTCAGTAGGGGCAGGAGGTGAAGGTGAGCAGCACTCCCACATTGTACACATCAAGAACAAAGCTGACATGGGAAACAGGGGAAGAAAGCATGACTGTAAGCCTTAGGGAGACAGCAGGGGAACTGTGTGACTTGTGAGGTGCCAGAGTGGGTGGGCCTGTGGATGGTGGGCATTCAACAACTGCATTCAGCTCCCAGGACACCAGTTCTCCATTCTCCTCTCCCCCTGGCCACTCCCTCACCTCTAAACAATGAAGCACCCAGAGGGATCAAGAAGTTAGTCAGGTGTAGCCAATGGTTTTTTAAGAAAACTGAGCCCGGCATGGTGGCACACCTCTGTAACTTCAGCACCTGGGAGGTGAAAGCAGGTGATCAGGGTTCAAGGCCAGGAAGACAGGGAGACAGGATAAGGCGGGGGTGGAGTCAGGAGTTTGTACCTGGTGCACCAAGGACTACAGTAGAACTGGGCAGGCACTGACTGGGGTCCTCAGTCAGGGGTTTTTGTTTTGTTTTTTAATTTTTACTTCTTCAGACAGTAGTATGCTATGTGTCCTAGGTTGTCCTCAAACTCAAAATCCTCTTGCCTCGGCCTCCAGAACGCTGAGAACGCCACATGCCATGAGATCTAATTCTCAGTGTTCTGCTGGAGACAGTAACGTTCAAACTATAGCACCAAGGATCTGACAACTACCAAGGTTCTAGGAGAGACAAACAAGACCGAGCTGGAGTAGGATTCCCCGGGGGACAGAACACAGGTAGGATGTACCTCTGGACTCACTGTGGGAAAAGCCCTCGGGACAGACACGAAGATCTGTTTTCTTTTCCACACCAAGAAAGGTGCTAGGCATATGTCAAAGCCAGAGGAAGTCATTCCCAGACAGAGCCCTGCCTGGGATGAGGAGAGGCAGCCGTAGAGGAGGAGACACCATGCTCAGGGAATGAAATGTCACAATTGTTCTGCCTCTTCACTCCCCTCATGGGACAGCCCAGACAAAGTTTCACAAGACACAACCTAACAAATACTAGGATAGCTTTTAATAATAATAATAATAAAAAAAAAGCCCACCAAGTCTGTGGGCAGTGCTCTAAAATACAGCGGAAACCACCATGAGTACCAGAACCTCACTTCACTGGCGTGCGGGGTCCCTCAGTGAGAGCAAAGGCTTTCCAGAAGTTTCCACATAATTGTACGCTGTCCCCGTTTTTAGAAGGCCCTTACTGAAGCAGGTATGGTGACACACACCTTTGATTCCAGCACTCAGGAGGCAGAGGAAGACAGGTGTCTCTGAGTTCAAGACCAGCCTGGTCTACAGAGTGAGTTCCAGGACAGCCAGGGCTACAATAGTGAGACCCTGTCTTGGAGGGGAAAAAAAAAAGTCCTTACTGAGAGGACACGAGGCACAGAGGTAAAGGAACTGGTATGAGGTCAGACTGCAAGAGACACACAGGAAGGACCAGAAATCCATCCCCTCCTGAAATGCTACCCAAGGGTCATTCTATAGCTACTGAAGCTGCGATCTTCTTCAGGAAGTAGTGGCAAGGGCCAGGCTGGGACTTTATGCCTGTGACCTGGACCACAGCCTGGCACACAGGATTCCCTGAGGCGGATGCCCCAACAGCCCCTTGTCTGTGATACATCTCCTTACTATCAAGCCCAACCCTCCTGGCGGAAAACCAGCTGCACAGCTTCATTCACATCATGAACAATGTGGGAGGCCTCTAGGAGCTCCAGACTGAAGCTGAAGTCTCGGTGGCCGTGGAATGGAAGCTGCGCCCCTTCGGAGCCTGGGTCCTGAGAACTGTGTATGCCCGTGCATACCAGGATGGAGACACAGCTCTGGATTGTTGAAGGCTGCCGCTTCTGCTGTCCACCAGTCCCACGTTCCTCCTCTCCACGCTTTGCCATTTGCAGGTGCTGGTTGAACAGGTTGGCGCCATAGACATCAGACACAGGGTTATCACTGGTAGGGCAGCAACACCGAAAGAAAAGAGGAGAAAACCCAAAGTTAATGTGGCAAAGCCACCAGGGCAGAGATCAGCCTGGGAGGAGGGGGTGTGACTCAGCTGCAGGGAGGCCAGGGTAGTGTGGGCAGATGAGCAGAGGAAGCCGGAGATGGAGACAGAGGGCTTACCCTATAGCATAGAGCTTCCTGACAGGGGCAGACCAGCCCCGCCTCTCAGCCTGCTGCCTCATCACGTCCTCTGCGTACTGGTAAGTGAGGATGCTGGGTTTGCCCATCAAGCCCTCATACTTCAGCTCCTTGCCCGTTACTTTCCGGTAGATGGCTTCCAGGCAGAGCAGAAAGGTGCCATGACCAAACCTGCCCAAGAAGAGATCTCAGCAATCCAGTCTTCAGCCCACTGGCCGTTCTCCAAGCGGCCTATGCACCAGGCCTGAATTCCCCTCCCTGCAGCCATTGCGCATGAAGAAAATGAGGCAAGAGCAGGCAATTTTCCCAGGGTAGTAAGCTAGGGTCAAAACCCAATAGCCTCACTCCCAAACCTTCTGTTGGTTTTGTTTTTGTGCTGTGACCAGCAGAGGACAACTGTATGGAGTCAGTTCTCTCCTTCACCTTTACATGGGTTCCAGGATCACACCCATCTCACCAGGCCCCTAATCCCTGAGACTGGATGCTATTCTACAGCCTCCAGCACCATCCTTCCAGTGGCGCATACTGACCACTAGGTGGAAAGAGCATGCCCACGGGTCCCCTGAAGCTAGGTGTGGTTGCGTGTCTAACCTACGTGGGGAAGCGCCACAAGCCAGTCAACAGAAGCACAAGTGCTGGACAGCTTTGATTCGGTGTCCTTAAAACAAGGAGGGCATGCTCTTCTCTGTCCTCCTTAGGGTCTGGAGCTTACATGGTCCCTAGCTGATGATACCTTGGGAGGGTGGAATCTTCAGAAAGTGGATCCTGCTAGGAAACAAGCCACTGGTGGCATGCGCCTGCCTGTCACTCTACCCCTCTGCTCCCAGCTAGCATGAGGGGAGCGGTTTTTGTACCATAATGTTCGACCCATCACAACGTTCTGGTCACCATAGACCCCAAATCAACAGAGCCGAGACGGATCTTTCTCCTTTTAAGTTGCTAACTTCAGTATTTTGTCAGGGTTGCAAGCTAACAGCCCTACTCCACTGCTTTAGATGGCAACCTAAAACGCTAACATGATGCTGACGGTCATTCTGGAGTCTACATGAAGGAGCAAAGATTATGCTTCAGGAAGGTGTGTGTTTCCTTGATAGAGGAGAGACTGAACACAGGCCCCTGATTGCCAACCTGACTTCTTTTAATGAGAAAGCAATAAACTTTCTTGTGTAGAGTGTTTTTGCCTTCCATCCTCAGTGCTAAGCCAAACCCTAATAGTCACTGTGCTTGGACTTACATTCAGGATCACTCTTTTACATAAGAATAACATTTTCTGGCTGGGCATGGTGATGCATGCCTTTAACGCTGGCACCTGGGAAGTTGAGAAGTGATGTGGGAATCTATGTATGCTGTGAATAAGCTTTATTATTATTGGATAATAAAGAAGTTGCTTTGATCTTTGATAGGGCAGAATAGAGAGGTGGGAAAACTAAACTGAATGCTGGGAGAAAGTAGGCAGAGTCAGAGAGAAACCATGTAGCTGCCGCAGGATATAGACACCAGATGCTGGATGGAACCTTACCGGTAGGCCACAGCCTCGTGGTAATACACAGATTAATAGAAATGAGTTAATTTAAGATATAAGAGCTAGCTAGAAATATGTATAAACCAAGTAGTGTTTTAATTAATACAGTTTCTGTGTGGTTATTTATGGTCTGGGCAGCCAGGAACAAACAAGCAGCCTCTGCCAACAGAGAAGCAAACAGATCTCTGTGAGTGCAGCCTTGCTTATACAGGGAGCTCCAGGCCAACCAAGGCTAAATGATAAGACCCTATCTCAAAGAAAACAACAACAAAATAACTCCATTTTCTTTTTGTTTCTTTCTTTTTATTTTGTGAAGCAGGACTTTGCTGTATCCCAGGCTGGTCTGAGGCTGATATTAACTGTGTGTTCTTCTCAGTGCCAGAGTTGCCGCTGTGAACCACCACATCCAGCTAACTTTGAGAGTGTTGAGTAAACAGTCAGGCATGGTGGCACATACCTGTAATCCCAACACTCAGGAGGCAGGTGGAGGATAATTATGAGTTCAAGGCTAGCTTGGACTACACTGAGTCACAGACAAGTCAAAGCTACAGAGTGAGACCTGTCTCCAACAATACAAAAATAATTGTGTGGAAAAAAAAAAGTCTCAAGCCAGGTGATGGTGGCCACACACCTTTAATCCCAGCAGCACTCCAGAGGCAGAGTCAGGCAGATCTCTTTGAGTTTGAGGCCAGCCTGGTCTACAGAGTAAGTTCCAGGACAGGTTCCAAAACTGTCTTGGAAAACAAACAAAACCAAAAACAAAACAAAAAATCTCAAATATGGCTTCTTTGAATGGAAAACTCATCACAAATCTGGTCTATAAACTAGTTTTCCCCTTGTTTTTCAGCTCATAGCTACATACCCAACTCCTACGTGATCCCCATCTAGAATCAACATGTCCTAACCTATGAGTAACAGAGAAAACACCAAACCTCATGCTAAAGAATACACTTTAACTACACTAGGGGGAACTGAGGCAGGAAGACAATGAACTGAAGTCAACTTGAGCTACATGGTTCGGTCCTGGCTCAGAGAGAGAGAAAGAAAAGGAGAAGGGAGCATCATGGGAAGAAAGCCCTGCCTCTTCGAGGCTGTCTAGAACACTCTCTGCTGACCATGATCAGTCTATGGAAAACTGAGAAGACACTAGGTTCTGGAATCCCAGTCAGAGCAGCCATCAGCTGGCTTTACAACAAGGCACCCTGAGGGTCACAAAAGAGGTACTACCAGCCCGAGAAAAGGGCAGGACGTGGGTACCCACAGCTGGGTCTCAGTACTTGGCTCTACACCATGGGAATAATCCTGGTTTATAATCCCAGCTTTCCCCCATCCTAGGGCTCACATACAAAGGCAATCAGAGAAGTGAGGGAACCAGTGCAGAGGGGAGAATCTTGAATACGCACCCACTGACATACCTTAGACTACCTATTTGATGGACGTGTTCTGAGACCAGCAGGGTAAAAAAAATCACTCAACACATCTTCATGCTCAGTAATCCGTAGTTTTAATTTAATAATTGACAAGAAGTAACTCTTGAAAGCCCTTACTCTCAGTGACCATATTAGTGTGGTACCTACAGGGCTTACAGGGAAAAGTCAGGGATACTGTGTTCTTACCTGGGCATCTTGGCTTCAGCCATCCACAGGAGATCCATGTTGCTAGCCAGGACAGGGAGGTGGGGATATGGAGCTGTCACCAGGCCAGTCCCAGGGTTCCCATTGCTAAGGAGGACATCCATAATCAGCTGCAGGTTTGTCTCCCAGCGGACTGGTTCCCCAAGAAGGAGGACCCCTAAAAATCAAAGGCACAGAGATAAGAAAGCAGGGCACTTGGACTGCCCTTTTGTGGTAGGAAGACCCTTCGGAGACAACAGAAGCCAGTTAGCAATACCCACCCAAAGCTACAGGTCTACTAAGGTGCACATCTGGGCAAGAGTATGGTTCCCTGAGCATCCCTGATCAAGCCACGTCCCAGCACCCTGGGCAAACAAAGTCAGGGCCCAGCAAGGAGCACCCTAAGGGTGTCCTTTGTGTCCACTGCTGTTTCACAGAACAGCAAATCTCATGCTGCTGCTCCTGGTGATGGGACTCTACCCACCACACCTTACCCCACAAGAGCTACTGTTCTCCACAGGGCCTGGCTCTCTCAGTCACATCTCTGAGCCTAATAGCCACGCAGAACTTGGGCTGAGGGGAGCCTTGAGCTCTGATCCTAACTCAGCCAAGTTTTCTGTGGAACTGTGCCAGTTACTCACCACTAAACCTCAGTTGCCTCAACTACATTTGAAATGAAAAGAAACATGGGCCCCTGAAATATGGCTCAGGAATCAAGGGCTTGCCTAGCATGAACAAGGCCCTAAATCCCAACCCTAGCAATACAATAAATACATGAAAACTAACGCCTAGAATGGTAGCATACGCCTAGGGCACTATTACCTGGGAGGTGGAGACAGGATGATAATTTACAGATGGTTGTGAGGTATCATCTGGGTACTGGGATTCAAACCTTACGCTGCAAGAGCATCAAGTATTCTTAATTGCTAAGCCTTACAAAATACTCCTGTACAGTTTAACATTTTTTTTAAATGATCATATAATCAAGAGACTCAGCTGGGCAGTGGTGGCGCGTGCCACTTGGGAGACAGAAGCGGGCAGATCTCTGTGAGTTTGAGGCCAGCCTGGTCTACAGAGAGTTCCAGGACAGCCAGGGCTACACAGAGAAATTCTTTCTTGAAAAACAAACAAAAAATTACCAAGAATTGTTCTCCATTTGAGACATCAATTCAGCAATGGCGATTCTGCCCACACACCCGTACTGCACTGTAGATACAGCCTGTCTCTACTGCTAGAGCAGTCCTGCCCACTCTGGTCGGCGCAATCATTTTACTTCTCAGATAACATTTACAATCTTCTCACCAGGACACTTTCTTTACGCTTCGGGTACAGTTGGGGCATTATACTACACTAACTACTTTGTTTGGTTTTGAGATAAGAGTCTCATTGCGAAGTCGAGATTATTAGCCTTATCCTTCAGCTCAGCCCCTGCCCGCCAAGTGGGAGACTACAGATGCACCACCACACTGGCCACTGATTGCTTTCTGATGTGGGTCATGGGAAAGTTATTTTACTTCAGAAAGGCAACAAGATGTTACAAGGGGAGAGCTAAGCAACACCGGACTAAGCCGTCCGTACCTATCTGCTGCAGAGTTGCTGAGCTCACAGTTCTTCACCACAGTAAGAACCATCATACATGTCTGAGTACTGAGCTGAGCCGAGAGGACAGCCAGAGCTAGATGCCAGTGACTCGGGTCCTGGTGTGCAGGGCCACCTTCAACACAGAGAGGGAAAGAGGGACCTACATCTACCCAGACACATGCCCTTTTTACCTTCAATGGCAGAGAAGTCATTCCTCGGGCGCTGCTAAAAGACAAAGAGGCCCATCAATGCTAGTCACCTTCCATTCCTGGAGTATCCAGTCTCTAGAGTGGAGTAGCAGGACAGACAGGGTTCACACAGCTCAGACACCACCTCCAAGGACCAGTGCAAGCCAAGTGGCAGAGGGAACTTAGCAAGGAGAGCACAAAGGGAAGACAAGGCCCAGACTAGGCTCAACACAGGATGAGGAACGCCAAGTGGCAAGTTGGCCAGGAGGGGCAGTGTCAGTTATGCGTCTCCAGGCATGACAGAAAACAAGGTCCTGGTCAAGCAGGTCAATCAGGGTGCTAAAGGAGGAAGTAGCCCGAGAGAGGAGCTCTCTGGGCATGAGGACTCTCTTATCTTCATACCAGTTCTAGTGCATTTCTCTTAATCAGCCTTGGGCCTATTGCAGTCTTGGCTCTGAGATGAGCCACCTCTCCTGTGTTGAACTCAGCCTTGGTGTTATTCTGAGATGTGTTCCCACGCTATAGTTTAGTTCTTCACAGAATTTAGTGACTCAAGAGAAAGCTCTCAAAAGATAGGATCTGTTCTACAACTAGAAAATTCTGGAAGGAAAACTTATAATCTATTTTCTACTAAATCAATGAAGTAAGTTTATTTGTCTAAAACTGTATTTCATCAAATCCTAAATTGTTGACATAAGCTATTAAATATCCCAAAGGAATAGCCGATGGGCACCTCAAGAGCCATACTCCAAAGGGTGGTCAATGAGTGGCCTGGAACTGATGATCCCAAGAAGTAAGAAATCACGGGCTGGGTGTAGCTTAGCAGTAGAGACTTCCCAAGCCGGTACAACCCTGGTTTGACCACCAGAACTGCAAAAGGAAATCAAGCCACTGTGTTCAAATATGAGCTAAATACCAAGGGCAGTGGGAAGACACAGACTCCTCAGTGTTTTCTCCTCACAAGGCAGCCTCTTTGGACTGTGCTTCAGGGTAAAGGAGCAGCAGTGAGTCACGCACCAAGGTTACTAATGGCCTGCAGAAAACCTGGGAAAGCCACTGTTAAATGGAGGAAGTGTTACGACAAAGCACAAGGCGAGGGCGAGGAGCCCACTGCTTCTCTCAGCCATGCTCATCTTCCCAGAGAACAAAACCCTTGGCCAGAGACACCTCTCCAAGCCCAGTGCAGGAGCAACCACAACACAAAATGCAGCTCCCAGCAGAAGGGTAGGAAGATCAACAAGGGGAACCAACACAGGGAATAGGAAGACAACCAGGAGTTTGTGGAGGGTGAAGTGACCCACCCTGTCCTTATTACCGTGGTCTTCGGCCGCCGCTCGAGGTCCACCATGTCCAGCTCTGGGAAGGCTGTTCGCAACTCATCTGTTGTTACCACATTCTGGAAGCCTAGTCTGGAGCAAGATCAGGGCAGCAAAGCTACACAGTTCTGAGGAAGATGTTTTATAGACACCTCAGGTCACGGGTGAGCAGATCCAGAGCCAGTCCTAACCATGGCAGGCAGGGAGCTATCATAAACCCCACTGGCACCAAGTGGCAGCCTGTGGACTGCACAGGCAGAGCAGACACATGCAACACCAGTGTAATCCTTGTGTCCCACTAGGGCACATTCCAGGTACCAGTTCCTACACCAGCAAGACCCAGAGAACAGAGGCCAAACCCATGTGTACTCAAGGAGCTTATGCCACACTCAGGGCCCATTCAAACTGGTGCTCCATGAACAGTATAGTGCAGCCCTAAGTACTGGGTTGGGAGGAGAGTCTTCTGTGGATGCGAACTGGTGAATAGCTGCTTCCTCTGGATTGAAACATTCCCTCCTGGAAGGTGGGAATCCCTGAAAGTTACCAGAGCCACAAGCTCCCTCCCTAATCTCCTCACACTTCCCTCCCCTGGGGAAGAGACACTCCCACCAGCCAAGCTGTGCAGAGAGCCCAGGGAAGCAGCTTCACCAGCCAGCACTCACGCTAGCCTGCTAGCCTACGCTTCTCTGGGATGGGCTTTTGATGACATGGCTGCCTCTCACCCCAATTACCTGGCTGGTTCACTGAGTTGTGGTGCCCTATCTGGGTTGAATAGATGTTTGTTGACATCTCCCCAGGAAAGGCCACCCAACAGTCAGTCACTAAGAACTAAATCACAGCCAAACCCCATCCAGCAAGGAAGGGGTGGTCATGCAGAAAACCAGGCTGACTTCAACCTGCTCTCCTCTAAGATCTGCTGCCACCTTCCTGTCCCTAATTCCATCCACAATCTTAACTAGACATGGTTTCAGATGACTCAAAACCAGTCTCCCCAGATGTTTGTTCTAACAGACCCTCCCAGCAGCTGGGGGCCTGATTGGCTCTCCACTGCTCTGAGCTCCACCAGCCCCAGCCTACCCTTCCTCTCTCTAATGCCCAACTCCACCCATTCCAACTGCCTGCCCTGCCTTCCCAGGAAGTCTTAACCCTTTCCTGGGCACCACCACACCATGTCTGAAGCTACAAGCCACTCTGCTCCAGAGCTGTTTCCCTCTATACTTCGAGGCTTGGTACCTACAACCCATCTCATTCTTTGTAGCTTCCAGTGCATTCCATCTTTTCCATTTTTAAAAACATTGATATAGCTGGGGAGGGAACACGTGTGGAGGTCAGAGGACAACTTTGGTCGTCAGTTCTCCTTCCCCTGGGTGGGACCTGGAGATCTAACTCCCTGCTTAAGCTGAGACGCAGCTCCTTGGCCCTATGCCATCTTTTCTCCTATGTGGGGCTGGGATTCAAACCAAGGCCTCATGCATGATAGACGAATACTCTACAATTGAGCCTCATTCCCAGCCCTCATCTCGTAATAGTTCGTCTTTTTATATGTATAAATGTTTCATTTATGGACATTACGGAACAACCTGTGGAGTCAGTTCCTCCCCTTCCACTGTGTGGGTCCTGATCACACGCAGATGGTTAGGCATGACAGCAGAGCCCCACAGCTGATAGCTTCCCAGCCTGTGATGACTCTCATCTTAATTGGACCTACATTCAACTAAGAGACATGAATCAGGAAAAACTAACTGAGGGGGAAAGGCCTCCCAAGAATAGGGGGCTGTGTTGCTTTTCTTGGTTAACGAATAAAGAAACTGCCTTGGGCTGTTGATAGGGCAGAACTTAGGTAGGCAGGAAAGACAGAATTGAATGCTGGGAGAAGGAAAGAGTCTGAGAGAAGCCATGGATCCTCCTCCTGAGACAGATGCCAATTGGAATCTTTGCCGGTAAGCCACTGCCACATGGCGATATACAAATTAATAGAAATGGGTTAAATGAATATAAGAGTTAGCCAATAAGAGGCTAGGGCTAGGGCTGGAGAGATGGCTCAGAGGTTAAGAGCATTGCCTGCTCTTCCAAAGGTCCTGAGTTCAATTCCCAGCAACCACATGGTGGCTCACAACCATCTGTAATGACGTCTGGTGCCCTCTTCCGGCCTGCAGTCATACACACAGACAGAATATTGTATACATAATAAGTAAATATTTTTTTTAAAAAAAAGCTAGAGCTAATGGGCCAAGCAGTAATTTAATTAATACAGTTTCTGTGTGGTTATTTCGGGGCTAAGCTAAGGGCAGCCAGGATGAACAAGAGGTCTGGCTCTCCTTTTGGAAGTGGCCCAGACATAAGAGGTCTGAGGAATTCAGCATGTACTGAAGCTTTCTCCAGGAACAGTGCCAGACTGAGACTGCTGAGGAACAGTGGATTGAGCAGCTACAGAGTTCACAGGTTCTCTAGTAGTAGATGGCCACTGTTGAACTACCCAGCCTCTACTGTGTAAGTCAAGCTAATAAAGTTCCATTCATAATATATGCTCGTTCTATTAGTTCTGTTCTAAATTAAACATTCTTTCACTGTTTGTGGGTATGCTCTTCCATTCTCAAGTATGAATTCCCTGATTAAGTCACATTCCCAATGCTCTTACCTGGGTCCCTGGCCTGCCTTAGATCACAGCCCAGCATGGTTCCCAGGAAGGATCCAGGGCACATGAACACGCTGCCTGGGAGCAGGGATCAAGTCTCTTGCTTTCTGAGTACATGAGACCAAAAGGGCACTATTTAGTAACAGGAGTGACAAAGACGGATGAAGGCTGAAGCAAAACTCCCACATGTAGTCACCCCAAAAGGTCTTACTTCACTGAGAACTCCTGAGTTTTTAACTCAAGACACAACAGATCAAGACTATTCAGGGATAAGACACAGGATTCTGACATTAAGTTCTGCAGATGGCACTGATGTGGTGGTATGTGGCCTGGCATCACCAGGCACAAGGACCACATGAAGGACCTATCTTGTTCCCCAAGAGCCCACCTCATACCTCTGGCACCCCAAGTCTGCACCCTCCTCTCCATCCAGAACAGCAAAGCAAAAAGGATACGCTCTGGCGTTTTCCACCAGGGGTCCCTGCCCAGATACCAGCATCCGCTTGTTGTGGTACTGCGAGAAGAGTTTCATAGGGCTGTGAGAGAGAATGACTTGGTCTGGATCCACCTACAGAGACAACCAAGAAACAGGAAAACAGGACGATATAGGCTTGAGAGGGAATAACAGGGAGACAGTCAATGGGTTCTGCCACTGGAGGGGAGGGGCTCATTGTCTAAAATACAAAGTATGACAGCTTTTCCTAGCACCTGACACTTTCTAAGACTTACCTAGATAGGAATGAGAACTTACCTTGGGCCAGGAATATAGCTCAGCGACAGGGTGCTAGTCCAGCATGCATGAGGGCATGGATTCAATCCCTTGGGTGTGGGTGTGCCTAATGTAATTCTCAACACAGGAAACAAGAAAAGCATTATCAGATTTAAGATCTGACTGTTCACCAATACTACTGGGCTTAGCTTGGAGACCTACTGAGATTTCTTTCTTTCTTTTTTAAAGATGTATTTTTAACGTGCATTGGCATTTTGCCTGCAGCGTATCTGTGCGAGGGTGCCAGATCCCCTGGAACTGAAGTTACAGTTGGGAGCTGCTGCTATGGAGGTGCTGCTGTGTAGGCACTGGGAATTGAACCTGGGTCCTCTGGAAGAGCAGCCAGTGCTCTTAACAGCTCTCCAACCCCACCCCTGAGATTTCTTCATCCCTTAGTTGAAAACCACAGGCTTTACAAGTATATTCTTTGTCACTGTCATAAAAAAATGTCTTGGATCTTGATAATGTGTTTTCAGTTCTACCTCTCCATGTTGGGTACTAAATCAGGACCTTGCAAATGCAAAGCAAGTGTTCCACCACTGACTCATACTCCCAGCCCAGAGTCTAGTTTGTGTGTGTGTTATGTGCATGTGTGTGCATATGTATGTGGGAGATGCAAGTGTGGAGAACCAGAGGTCAGCACTGGATGTCTCTCTCAGTCAGTCTCCAACTTTCTGAGTCTCTCATTCAACCTGGCTCCCTATTTTGCTAGACTGGCTAAAGGCTAGATTGGCTGCCCAGCAAGCCTCAGGGATACAACTGTCTCCAGCCCTCCCCCTAACCCTGGAATTACAGTTGTGCCTCCAAGCCTGACTTTTTAGACGGGTGCAAAGATCAAACTCAAGCACTTTGCCCACTGTGCCATGTCCCCAGCAATCTCTAACAATGTATGTAGTCTTTATCAAGAGTAACTATTATTTTGAGATGGGGTCTCACTACACTCGAGCTGGCCTGAGACTTGTGGTTAATCTCTTTCCTCAGTCTCCTATGTGCCAAGATTACAGAGGTGTGCACGACCACACTAGGTTCCTCAGAATGTTTTTGGGGTCCTTTTATTGAAAAAGTTTCAAGGTTCTAGTTTCATTCCTCTACCTTGGATTCAACCTCAGCCAGCACCACCTAATCAATCAGCCTTTATTGACTCTCTTGGTTACAAAGAACCCTTCGCAAAACTAAGTTCACCCTTACCAAGCAGGCACCCATTTGGATACAGTGAGGAACTGCAAAGGGGCGGAGATGCTCAGCTTTTGGAGAACAGAACTCCCGGAGCTGCACAGCTGCTGGCTGTGTGGATGGGTGGGATTTTTGTTATTTCTTTGACACAAGGTCTCACTATGCAGCCCAAGCCACCTACAACTCATAATCGTTCTGCCTCAGCTTCTCAGGTACCTGTTATGAGCCTGTACTATTATTACTGTTAAGAAGAGCTGCTATGACACAATCCCATCTGTACCATGGAATGCCGAACACATGTGATCTTGGCTTTCAGGGGCCAAACCCCTAGAAGAGTCATGAAGACAATAAACTAAACTGCTGGGCTGGGTAGAATGCTTGCCTAGCATGCATGAAGACCTGGGTTTAATCCCCAGCACATAAACCACGTACGGCAATGCACAGCTGTGATCCCAGAATTAGTGAAGCAGAGTCATCATCAACTACTACAGATACACGAGTCATTGTCTCAAACACTAAAACATAAAGGACAGATCCCTGTCCTCTCCCCACCCTCCTGAAACAGGGTGTCATGTAGCCCAGCCTAGTACTGAAAAACAGCTGTGATAAGGGTGTACCACCATAGACAGTAATGCCACGCTGAGGTCCTGCTCAGGGCTTCACTCGTGCTAGGCATGAATTCTGTTTACAGAATTACATGAACTACACCCTCAGTCCCAAGGGCAGGACTGCTGTGCTCACTCAACCATGTGTGCATACCTGTGTGTAAGACTCTCTGCTGTCATCACAAGTCTACGCTAGAACTTTAAGACTCCCACTGCCCAGTCAAACCACCACCTAAGGAAGGGGATGTAGGGCTGGAGGGTCCAACAGGAGCCTGTTTTTGGGTTTCCATGCTCTGGCTGCCTCTTACCTTGTACCCCAGCAGGTCTGACAGCTCCTGAGCTTTGCTATGTTGTAAGATGTTCCCAGCATTTGTGACAAAAACCACGGGTACCCGCAGCTGCCCTTGGGAGTTTACCAGCTTGCCGAATGCTTCCAGAGCAGCTGGGATCACTCTGTGGCCTCGAACCAGCACTCCATCAATGTCAAACAGTAAGCCAAAGGTGGGAGGGCTCTGTACACAGGAAAGAGAATTGGCACTGCATGAGAGACAGGAAATGACGGGGAAAGACCATCAGACAGAAAGGGTCATCCTCAGGTCACTGTCTGAAAATGGCACCAGAAAGAACAAGAGAGGAAAGCACGGCCCGCCTCCTCTCCTTTGTCTGGCAGGGCTAGAAATCAGACTTTATACATGGTAGGTAAGAACTCTACCTCTCAGCTACACCGAGGCACGGGATTTCTGATTGGCCAAATCCACCTACACAAAGAAGTTTACCAAGTTCACCAAACACAGAACTACTTTGTCGAAATTAATTTTGCACCAGGCAGTGGCACACATCTGTAATCCCAGCACTCAGCAGGCAGAGGCAGGCAAGTCTAGAGTTTAAAAACAGCTTGGGGCTGGGCAGTGGTGGCGCAGGCCTTTAATCCCAGCACTGCGGAGAAGGAGGAGACAGTTGGATCTCTGTGAGTTCAAGGCCAGCCAGGACTGTTACACAGAGAAACCCTGTCTTGAAAAACAAAAAGACCAGCTTGGGTTACACAGTGAATCTGAAGCCAGCACTGGCTGCTTAGCAAGGCCCAGTCCTGGAAAAGCAAAATGAATATAAGCAATTTAAAACAGGAAATAAAGGAATCCAAAGAAAAACATAACCCTACCACTTTAACACAACCAGTTTCTATTTTCCCTGTTTACTCTTCTTTACCCCATGCAATTAAATACAATTATGTACCCTGTTCTCTGTGGGTGATAAACAATTTAACCAGTAACACTGGCCTTCATAACTATATTTTTTAAATTCCTTTTTAAGGTTTAGTTTACATGTATGAGTGTTTTGCCTGGGATGTCTATATGTGCACCATATGTATGCCTGATACCTGGAATGACTAGAGAGCACGTGGAATCCCTTAGAACTGGAGTTTGGGTAGTTGTAAGGCACCACGTGGATATTGGGGATAAAACCCAGGTCCTCTATAAGAGAGCAAATGTTCTTAACGACTGAGCCATCTACCCAGCCTGATCCTCCCCTCCCTCTGAAGAGGATCTTACTTTGTACACCTGGCTGGCCTGGAACTCACTATTTAATTAGGGAAGCTTGGAGTCTGTGAGATCCTCCTCCTGCTCCAGCCTTCTGATTGCTAGGATTAAAGTTATTCACCAGCACTCCTAGACACAGCCATCTTGTAAGAGTTTGTTCTAGGGCTGGGAACATACCTCAGTGGTAAGTCGACTCACTTAGTACACTTGAGGATATATGTTCAATTCCCAGCATCATTTTTTTAAGCTGGGAAGTGATAATGCTTAACCCCAGCAATCAGGAGGCAGAGGCCAGCAGACCTCTGAACCTGAGGCCAGCCTGGTCTACAAAGTGAGTGTCAGGACAGTCAGGATTACACAGAGAAACCCTGTCTCAAAAAACCAACCAACCAACCATTTTAGAATCATCTTTAGTGGCATACTTGTAATCCCAGAACCTAGGAGGAGGCCAACCTGAGCTGCATAGCAAGTTCAGGCAAGCCTGTGCTATATGACTTTGTCTCAAAAGAAGAAAAAATGTGTTTTCATTTTAACTTCTTTCATTGGGGGAGGAGGGGTGAGACAGGATTTCTCTGTGTAGCCCTGGCTATCTTGGAACTTGCTCTGTAGACCAGGCTGGCCTTAAACTCAAAGATCCTCCTGCTTCTACCTCCTGAGTGAGTGCTGGGATTAAAGACATAGCTGCCACCACCCAGTTAATGGCATTGTTTCTGCCTAGCATGTATAAGGCCCACAGCTCTATCACCCTAACCATTTCCATTTCCCAATTTCTAAATAATCTTTTTTTGAAAATTCATTCCATTTCTTAGTTTATGAGCTGCCTGTTAAGATAATTCTTAATTATCAAAACAAATGAACTAGCCTAACCTGTCTGCCATTTCTCTTTTGTTGGCGCCAACTAGGTCAAGCCACCCTTAAAACACATGCAGTCTGTGCACAAAGCTCTATGAGTAGTGACCAATCCAAACCACAGACAGGAACAGGCATGGTGCCACAGGCCGTTCATCCTAGCACTGGAGGGTGGGCCAGCCAGGGCTATACATTGAGACCTGTCTTAATAAACAAAACATCAATCCAGGTGAACAGTGCTCTAGTCCCTCGTTGCTTAGTTGACAGGACAGAATGAGCAGCTAGCCTTGAAAACAAGCCACTAAAACAAGCAGCGCTTTCACAAATAGGAATCAATCTAAAGTTTTTAAGTCCTCAGGAAACTAGAGAGAGAACCTTGGACCTCACGCATGACAGGCAAGCGCCCTACCACTGAGCTATATCCCCAGGCCTGGACATTCTAAGTTTGATAATTACATACAATGGAAAGATCAAATTAAACAGGCGGAGTTTTCTGGAAAAGAATTCCGAGCTAGCACTGATTGATGCTGACAGTACACTCAGCGAACCGAAGAGGAGTGGCAGGCAGGCAGGGGGAAAGGATGGAACCTGTGGGGGCAGGTGTGGAGAACTCAGGACCTTGGAGAGACTGCTCTTACAGAGAATCCCAGTTTGGTTCCCAGCACCCACAACAGGCAACTCACAGCCATCTAACAACTTCAGTTCCAGGGGATGCGACGCCTCTGGCCCACAAAGGCACTTGCACTCAGACACATACATCGACACACACACCTACACACACTCGCAGACTCACACGTCCACCCACACACAGACACACACATACACACACATCCACCCACACACATAGACACACACCTACACACACACATCCACCCACACACATGCAGACACATCCACACACACACATATCCATCCACACATATGCAGATACACACCTACACACACACATGCAGACACACACACTCACACACACCACACACACATAGACACACACACACACACAGATTTTGAAAGTCTATTCTTGGGGAACTAGGAAGACCACTACCATTTAAGGACATAACACATGAAGGCCATGAACACCAGAGAGACAGCAGTCAAGGTAAGATGGGAAAACAAGAGGGTATAAATTAAGGGAGTGAAACTATGACTGTCTGTATCAGGTAAACTAGGAAGTAGAGTGACTAATGGCTCCATTTTCCTCTCACTAAGCAGGTGTGAGCTCCCATCCTTCCTCCCACTAAGCAGGTGTGAGCTCCCATCCTTCCTCCCACTAAGCAGGTGTGAGCTCCCATCCTTCCTCCCACTAAGCAGGTGTGAGCTCCCATCCTCCCTCTAAGCAGGTGTGAGCTCCCAGACCTCTTGGTTCCTTTACCTAGGTTAGGAACAGTCTCACAGGCCTAGCCCATGGGCCAAGCAGGAGGTGGGCAGGAAAACTGGAAAAGCAGGCAATAACAACTCAAATCAGTAAGACCATTACTTACAAGACCATTGCCCACTAGAAAAAAGCAGAGAGACAGTCTCTCATGCATGCAGGAAATCTGCAAGCAAACAGCCAAAAGCCTCCAAGGCCGATCCCTTAGCACCTTAGCCCAGCAGAGTATACTTGGCTCCACGCCAGACATGTAGCAAACATTTTTATCTATTCTATCTAACTGTGAGGAGGCGTCTATCTTCAAATGAGGTATTACCTTGCAAAACTCTCCCATAAAAGTGTAAGAAAAAAGTAGCTATTAAAGAATGTGGCCAAACATAACTTGTATAAGGCCTGAGTTCATTTCTCAGCTCCTTCCCCGCCCCGATCAAAGAACCAACTTTTGAGAGGAAAATGAGCCAAAGGCTTCCTAGCCTGTTTTACAACTCTGGGTCCAGAATTCCACTTCAAATGAACTAGCAGCAAGCCCAAGGCCCTTGCCCCTACTCCCTTGGCACTTCCTGGAAGCAAGCAAGGATGGGGTGGGGTGGGGTGGGGTGGAGGGACAGGACAGAGATCTCAGCCTGGACACACTCTCCCTTGCCTACTGTCAATAAGCATACTTCATTCATACCCAGTGGCCTTCAGTATCCCTGCAGCCCTTCCCTACTGCTCAACATCGTTCTAACAGAATCCTAAACTGGGGCTCTCAGGTAGATTCCAGAGTGGCCATAAAATCCCTGGGTTTTTGTTGTTGGGTTTTTTTTGTTTTTGTTTTTGTTTTTTTGTTGTTTTTTTTTTTTTTTTTTTTTTTTTTTTTTTTTT